TATATACATTTTATATAGTTAAAACAAGCACATCAAAACTTCCAAAATAACCACCATTAGTTACCAAGTTAAAGACTTTAATACATAAAATGTTTATGAAGATGGTGGAATATATACCAGTAAGGTACAGTATGAGATCATATGGTTATAAAGCCACTACAGTACAGTATGTGTGAAATAGTTTATCATAATCATAATTTAAATATAAATTACTCTTAATCCTAATTACTCTTTGCTAAAATTTGCATTAAGACACAATATAGATGATCTCGATGCAGATGTAAACCTGAAAGAAGCACATCGCGTTCACAACAAGTCACATTAGAATAATAATCTGTTTTTCATATATCAAACTGAGTCGATTTAAAGATAAAGTCGGAACTCTGAGATATAAAGTCGCAATTGTGAGATATAAAGTCGGAATTCTAAAATTCTAAGTTGCAATTGCGAGATACCATAGTGCATTTTTTTTTACTCCCTGGTGGAAGCAGACTTCCATAGTATATAGTCTTATAGTACTATGAACATTAAAACAAAACATATAGTTTGGATTTTAACACATAGAATATTTAACATACCTGTAATTTTTAATTCCATAATAAATTGAAATGGTAATGTGATAAACTTCTAAAAAGCTATTACTAAAAAACTTCACCTGAGCTTGGAACAATGCTCAATGATTTCTTAAAGACATTTTTCCCTGAAAAACCTATTTGTACAAATACCAGGTTAGTAATGTTGCATTTCTAATTTCAAAATGTTGCCCACGGTATGTAAAATCAATTACATTCTAATCGAAACATTTTAAATATTAACTTGCCAAAATCCTCCAATGATCAAATCACAGTTCTTACTTTTTTAGAAAAAAACATAATTACATTTGGAGAAGTGTACACTATGAAAGTGTAGACATTGGAGTTAATTACAATAAGGACAGTGAGGTGACACTCCGGGAAGAACAGTGATTTAGCAAAGCAGAAATGAGAATGTCTTCCTGGGAAGTGAAAGCAATCAGGAAACTCAAACACTCTTATGTATATAATTTATTCTAACTCATTAGCTTCTCCCAGTCATGTATTTTTCAATTAAACATACTGCATTTGTACTGTTTTCTTTGGCCACAAGAAGTCACATGGGGTTACATCTTTCATCCTCTTCATACACTTGCAAATATATATTAAGGGCAGCATTTGTCCCTGAAGTTCTTTATGTGCAAAAATCAAGTGACAGTTTCATATTCCATATAATACCCCAGAGTACAAAAAATGTCTTTATCACATAAAATTCAATGATGAGATCCAGATGGGAGAAAGTTGGTAAATTCGGCTCCATAATTTGTAGCTGCTATGTTAAGTATGCATGGATAATTGGTTGCATTGACAAATGTCCTACTGTATCATTATAGTGTCAAAGCTGGGAGCTTATCAAAAAACATCTCTAGCTACCAAGGCAGTTTTGTAATGTCAAATAGAGAAATCTGTTTTACACAGGTCTGTGCCAGCCTGAGTTTTTTTTTTTTGCCTTAGCAGTTTGACATGGTCAGTGATAGTCATTGTCAAATAATTATGATGTCAAGCCACCAAAACCTTGGAGACAAAGTACACAGTGCAACAACATTTAAGTTGCGTCACCATGTATGGTGATTGGTCATGCACTGTTATGTGAAGTGTATGTTACTGGATTACATATGGGCTACATAATGATATTTAGCTTGCTGTATTTCTGTAATGGACCGCAGAACAAACCGGATGGAGGCAGTGGTATATGTTGGATGAAGAATCCTAGCTAAGGGGTGGTGACGACAGACAGTAGCACTGCAGGAACAAGCAAGCAGAGAGGTAGGCAGAATGCACCTATGCAGCCCAACAGGCATGATGCAAAGATGAAAAGGCAGAAGTACAAAGGAGAAATCCATGTAGAATGGTCAAGCAGGCGAGAGAGCCCAAATGGCGGAGAGGGTCCAGGAAGTCAGGTGATCTAGGTCAAGCCAGAACAGAGTTTACAAACACAGGGAGATCCAGGAAGTGTGGTCAAAGAGACAAGCAGAGAAGTACAGCCAAGAAGAAACACAAACACTGGAGAGGAATAACAAGAGGAACAAGTGCCAAGTCACTGGTGTTAGTGCTAAGACCAAGGACTGCAATATTGGGAGAGTGAGAATAAGGATCCTTCTAGTAACAAGTTAAGTGCCATTTAATTACAGGCCAGTGGTACTGACAACCTGCCTGACCACACTGCCATAGGAACTGGATTGACTGATTTGGTAATTGACCACCAGCCATGGAGTTACAGCTGGAAACAACACTTACCCAAGCGTGAGCACTACTATTTCATATTATCAGTGCAATACTATAAGAGAAATATATTACTACAAATATAGTAACTATTAACTCCACAAATACACGATAAATAAAGTTAATAACACATTTCAAATTAAAATATTTAGAAATTAAAATGATACAATATTTCAAGATTTGACGATTAAAAAACATTTTTTGAAGGTAACTAATGGAAATGAAAAAAACTTAAATTCTGATGATATTTCCTTTTAGAATAACATAAAACACAATGAGCACCTGCACTGAGAGACTAGTTTTTAAGGCAGAAAGCACAGCCTTTTGACTATGCAGTCATCCATGCTTGATGGACATTAAACATATGGCACTTGTATATCGAACACCGGGGTTCATGTTCACATGGATGAATACTGTAGTTCATTGTAGTTCATGTTTTTTAGCTGTAACAAGACTAACTACCCTTGCAAAACAAGGAAACAGCCACCATAAAATATGCAATATCTGCAAAATATTTAGAAAACTTTTTGAGAAATTTAGCATTATTTTTTTAAAATCTTTCTCATAAAAAACCTTAAATGAGATGACATTTATTTGGTTTTGCTAAACTTTTTCCAGTATGAGGAATTACCATATTATAGCTGTGCATGAAAGGAGGCTGTTTCAAGGAAGATTTAAGCTCATGAATACCCAGGACCTTATTGCTAACAGTTATTTTGTTGAAAACAATTTGTTCTTTAAGCTTCCTTATTTCCATCACCCAGACAACAGACTGATATCATTTTAAATTGCTAAGTAGTTAGGGGGAGATGAGTTTGATCGTTTTGTTATCTAGTAGTGTAGGTCTTGAAGAGTATATAGGAATTTTTGTCTACATAAATGAATGTTTCAGCTGGGTCACGTCTAATATGGCCCCAATGTACTAGAGGTGAAATCAACACAGGTGAAGAAGCTTCTTCTAAACCACGTGTTAAGACTATCAACTTCAGCTTCCGACTGAAATGAAATATAAGTTGTTTTCATGTTACCTGTAAATATTCGTTGATTCTTTTTATCAATATTTTATTTATAAATACTTTAAGTCACCTAAACAGGCACCTTATTGTTTTGCATTATAATCTAAAGATGATAGTCGTAAAGTGGAAAAGCAATGTGAATTAAAAAAAACAAAAAACCTATATCACACTACAGTGCAGTTCAGAATGTATTCTGTCACTGTATTATATACTTGCTACAAAACATCTTCATAATACCTCACTGCCAATCTCAAATGTCATTGTAGCCTATTGGGTCACAAAAGAAGTCTTCAACTAGTACAAGAAGGAGAGGTACTTAAACTGACACATTTTGATGCATTATACCCATTCATGTAGGAAGATTGGCTTTCAGCAGGAAACAAAATAAAGTAAAAGCAATCACATTCCATAAATCAATAGGCAGCAATATTCAGTATAAATTTACTTTTCGGCTTTCCATCCTTGATAAATATTGTACAGATAGACAGGGATCTATAAAGCTACTATTAGGTAGTATAGCAATGTTACAGTATATAGCTATTGTATTATACCAAGTAAGACTCATAAATGATACTTTCATTTCCCTCTCAAACCAAGGATGTTTACATGTAAAGCTTGCATCACGTGTTGACCCTTTGTGATGAAAAGAGATATACTGTACAAGAGCAAGGAATTATTTAACCAAAAATTGAGGTCCTGCATCAAAAAAGATTGCAACCTCATCCACACAGTTGAAAAGCCTTTCAAAATTATATCAAAAATTGCTCCACTGACTGAACTGGAACTTGGCAGATTTCATCAATAATCAAATCTTTGTGTGGAGCTCAATTGTCAATGAAATTTGTTTTTATGTCTGCTTTGGGACATATACAGCCTTTAGAAAAAAAATGAATTTAAACATGCTAATTACAAAATAAAGTTTTGTGGGGAAAAAACAGACGTCAGTGGCAATTTTATAAATAGGCCATAAGTCATCTCCGTAATATCTAAAGTCATACAACTGTACATTATTTTTGCCACAAAAACAAAAAAGTGGTGTTCTCAAAAGAGAAAATCAAAAGGTAGCCATTTTACCGTCAAACACACTGACTAAAATAGACTGGGTTTCAATCAACGAAGTTGAGCGCAATGTCTGCTAACTTTAGCTCACCACTTGCTCACACCATAATACACGAGGCTCCTGTGGAGACTGGGGAGGAAATGGTGGGACACAGAAGATGGATAAGGCATTCACCATGCTACTGATCTACAGCAGCTCCATGGGAGGATAATGTTTATCTGACAGTGGACAACACTTTACTGAAAATATAACAAATGAAAAGCAGTATATCATATCAAAGGTTCTTGTAAACACTCTGGGCCTTTCCTGAAATAAATTACTCAAGACAAATGTTTTTCAGGTCAGAGGATTAACTTCCGATGAGTCAGCAGGCTAGTTAATTTTATTGAGGTGCTCCTAGTGTGTGATGTCAGAGGAGAAAGGCCCATAAAATATTTGTACTGTGGCCCACAATAGTGAAATCTTGCCAATTTTCTTTCTTTCCTCAATACAGTATCCCACAAATCCTGATATTATGTTATTTAATAGATGCCCGTCTTCAGGCACACTCAAAACTGAAATTAACTCATTAAAAACAATGTTATTTCCTTTAATTAAAGTATATACAGTATAACATTTAAATCCACCTACCTCAGAATAACTGCGAATTGCATTGCAAAAAGCTTCATCTGCAACAATTTGCGTTTCTCCATTCAGAAAGGCCTGAAACCGTTCCTTGATTGTCAGCAGCTGTTGCTTGTTGAGCTGTAGAAAAGTAAATTTCAGAGTGTCACAAAAACATATTTTTCAAATTAGTTAATGCAGCCTTCATTTATAGGACTAACTGATGTTAAGGTTTTCTGTTCACAGCACGTAAGGAAACAATAAATAAACCGCCTTAATAGCAGCATTATTCTTTTCAAACTTCCAAAGTATACATCTTTCAAATATGCACCTGTATTTCTATCATTCTGCAATCTTAAATTAGCTGTGGTCACCAAGGTAACGCATTACACTTAAACAAGGGCTCCAACACACTGAACATGCCCCACGCTATGCCACAGCACCTAAAACCCATTTGTTTGTTAGAAATTAAAAAAGTCCACATTTATGTTTAAATACAAGGAGTACTTTTTTGCAAAACTGCAAGGGATAAGACCTTCAAAAAAAAATTAACAGGCACTATTTTTAAGTCTTTGATAAGTATAATTAAACCATACATTTTATTAACAGCAGAACAAATCTAACCTCAATACAACACACAAAAAGCTTTTCAACTAAAATTAATCACAACTAGTGATAGATGTAGAGTTGATGTTTGGAAAAGTCCAACATATTAAGTATAATTTAATACTGTTTGTAAATCCATAATTGCTTGCCAGTTATACCTTCTAAGATTCAATCATTCATCATAGCAAGTGGCGCTCTTATGTTCTGCTGAAATAATTGTAACACAGGAATGCGATATTTCTAGAACATCACAAATGCTGCAGACATACTGTACCTATTGAAGCCCTTTATCTTAAATTAGTCATGTATATGGAAATGGAACTCATATAGAGGAAGCATAGGATAGATTCTAACAACATATTTTTCTGTAGTAACAGAACAGCAAAATGGTTGTGGGGGAATTTAATTACAGTTTATATAAAGGTTATAGTTATATAGGTATATATACAAACATCTCAAACTTTGTATGATATATACTTTGTATATGATAATTACCGCACAATGTCTGAAGTAGTACAATAATTAAATTATTAAATTCATATTACAATTCCACTTGTCATACTGGGAATTACTTAACACAAGCTAACAGCTCCCCACATAAAAAACACTGCAAGATGAGTCTAGAGCAGGCATTTAAATTGCCATTTTGGAAACAAAAAACATTTTAAGACCTCACATTGAGGAATTCCATACTGAAAGGATGAGATACCTCGTGTTATTTCTCCTTTATATTTTCTCCTGTTGGAATTCTGCTCTTCTTTCAGTGCATCTGCCTATAGAGGTGAACCTGATGCTTGACGTTTCCAGTGAAACTTAGCCTGTATGTTTTCCATAGATGGACAGCTGTGAGTTCGTGTCAGATGCTCCTGTGTTCGTAATACTTACATCACTTTATAACATGCATACAGTATATGACTCATCTGAATGTTCAAAGAGCTAATTTTTAAGAAAAATGCAATTTGCTTCATTGTATTTTTGCCATTGGCTAGTGTGACTAAAGTGCCAGACAGCAATTCTTTCGAGTGGTCTTTCGAGTGGTCACAAAATTAATACAAGTAGGCAAGGTACAAAAATAAAGTGGAAAACCAGTGAGTATTCATTTAGGTGTGCTTGTGCAAGGAATAATGTTTACAAAAAAGACAACTAAAGCAACAAAACTGTAGTGTCTCTATTCAATTCACGTCTAGGAATTTTAGGAATGACAGAGTTAATCAAACCAAACTGTGTTGCAGTACAGAGACAAGGTAACTTTACAAAAACAAAGATTACTGCTATACCATAAGTGTCAGGTTAAATACCCTAAGCTGCACACACAACTCTTCTTGATACACAGATAACATTCCGTCTACGACAGAAGTTAGTCAGGGTCTGTGACCTGACAAAATGGTGGAAGAGACTGAAATAATGATGAATAATTATTATTATAAATTAATAATGAAATAATGGGAAAAATGTTGTGACACTAATACAAAAAGCTAACAGAGACTCTTCTTTCTTAAAAAACTCAGGTAATTTAAGGTAGTGTAACATAACCAGGGGAAGGGTCATTCATAACAGGTGTAGCGGCGAGGCTTATTAATAAGAAAGAATTAAGTGTTCTGAGCCTTCCCAAATGAGGCCCCATTTCTCTGTTCATCTCTGTGGTGCAGCCACAGAGAAACTATTCATGCAAGATGTTTTCTTTTGATAAGGACAGCTCCCAAAGGGGGATGCACTTAG